GTGCCCAGTTAAGTCACAGTCATATTGTCCCCCCCCCCTTTCCCCCCCCCCCCCCCCACCATGTGGGAGAAGCAGCAGCCAGGGATTTTTAAGTCCCTAAAGAAGATAATAATTAATGCCCCCTTCCCAGACCTTTCCCTCCATGGTCAGAGGCATGTTCCCTCCTCCTTCACCTACCACTGTTGCTATCCCCACTGTGGGGCCAGGGGACCCAATATTCCACCCCAGTCATGCTATGTGGGGGCCAGGTTCATTTGGGTTCCCCTGTCCTGCTTAGTCCTCCCCTCTGTGGTCCCAGTCAGCCAGGAAGCAGGCGCAGGGAGAAGGAAATCCATCTACCCATCACCATCCAGGGAAAGCCTGGTGCCCTGCAGAATGGATGGAGTAGCTCTGGATTTCTCCTTGCCCTCATGACAGTGGGAAGAGTAGCAGGGGCAGTGGTAGGTGTGGGAAGGGAAGAGAAGAGGGAAGAATGCTTACCTGCTTTCAGGACTTGCAAAAAATCCCCCACTGCTGTTCCTGCAGCGTGGTCTGCCTGCCCTGGTGGCAGGGCTGGGTTGAGAGTAGGGTATGCAACCATATCTGTAGCAACACTCACTGCTCCTGTATCCCTCCCCCCGCCTCATAAAATCCTGGATACATTTCTGGTCTTACTGGATTGTTAGGCCACAGCTTTGAAACTGGGGCCTCAGCCTGGTCACCATGGCCACTCATCTAGACCCGCTACTCCACAGCGGACCACCCAGACATGGCAAGGCTAGACTGAAGCCTTCAGCAGGGCCACTCTTTGTCACCAGAGTGGTTACATAGTGTCAAATATGCCTCTTTGCTTCCCTTCCATATAAACCCTTGTGCAGGAAAGAAGAAGAAGAAAAAAAAAAAAAAAAAAAAAGTGTCAAGGCACCAGGGCTCAATCCAACCCCAGACCCCAGTGTGCTATTTGACTTTGATTTCTGCCTAAACTCCTGGCTTCCTGAATCAGTTCTTCTTAGACTCCACTCTTGGGCTGACCTCCTGGCTTCCTGACCTGACTTGTCCCTGGATTCTGTTTGCTTCTCCTGTTTTGCACCTCAATCCCCAAGTCTCAGACCTGGCTACCCATACCCCAGTGTGAAAGATTCAGGAAATACTTCCTCAGTCTATCCAAGCAGCAATCTTTTCAAAGAGGCCTTGAGATGCTTTAAAAAAAAAAAAAAAAAAAAAAAAAAAAAAAAAAAAAAATCTTTATGACTGCCAGTTCCTCAAGTAGTAGTCGCACAATCTCTGCATTTGACATACTCAGTAATCCCAAACAGTCATTTGACAACTACACGTGATGCTAGTTTGTTTTTTTTAACTTTCTTCTAAGGAAGAGATGGCTAAGGAAGTTCTAGTTAATTGGAGTTTTGTAGTATGGCATGATGCTGGCTGAAAAAGGAAGATAATAAGCTATTGATCTTTTCACTTTTACCTTAATGAGCTTCAGCAGAATGGGAAATAGTTCAAAACAGACCCTATAGCACCAATATGAAAACCATAGGGATGCAAAACTCAATTGGGACTTGTCTCCCCATCATTCATAAAACTCTTTTGAGTAGGGCCCAGGCTGTACTATGTGTAGGTATACAGTATATGCCAGAGTTCTGTAGCTGATACAGTAGTTCAAATAAAATACACACACACACACACACACACACACAACACACACTTGGAGAGTGTAGCATACAGAAGGCTGAATTCTCAGTTGGATCCAGGAGCTGTCATGGAGCTGGGTCTAGTTTTCTGAGCCTGGTGCACATTGGAGTTACAGGGGAGCTCAGGGACATTAATGAAGGATTTGTCACAGAAGAGCTCTGTTCTGCTCAACCTCACTTTTGGTCTGCTACTGCCATTTCCCTAATACCTTGGGCCAGGTGCTACTACAGCAGGAAAAAATTAAGAGATTGCCTCTGCCAACTTTCCTTGATGGAATTAATCCTGCACAACAGGAGCTTGCCATTGGCCAGTTCACTTAGAGTTGCTTTCAGCCATTTGCATTAAGGGTTGGTAAGTAGAAAAAGGCACTTTTCAAAATTGATTTACTTTTTCCTTATGTCTTACTGGTTGTGACCATGAACACAAATTGGACAAAACTGCTTAACTATTTTTTTTAGTGTTTCTTCAAAAAGGGTGGTCTGGGTATCATCATCCCAAGCTAATTTTAGTTTGGGATGATGCAAACACTTGGGAAGGGCAAAACACTTTTCCCCTTAAATTCAGAATGAAAATGGATTTTATCCACCAGAAACTTGGCCGTGTATTTATCATTATACTGGAATGTGGTTAGGCCTATTTTCATAACAGAAGCGTTTCTGAGCTGGATAGACCTCCCAGAAAATTAAGGCTTCGGTTGCAGAATACTGTAATCATTCTTTTCCAAAGGTAAATGAAATGCATGGGGTTTTTTTTTCAAAAAAAATTGTTGGCTAAGTTTATTTGTCTTCTGTTGCCATGGATATATAAACATTGTCAAACAATTTGCCTTTTCTTTCTAACCAAAAGTGTCAATCTTTTGTATCGGAACAAAAAGAAAATTACATAAAATTTCAGTGCACACTAGATTTTGTATCAAAAGGTAAGTGCTATTTTACACACATACAGAAGGAGGGGGGGAAAAAAAAAAAAAAAGAAGAGGAAAAAAAAAAAAGTTAGTTCACCGTATTCATTTCTTGATATTTGAATGTCTTTGTAAATATGCTGTAAGAACCTAAAAGTTATTAATTAGGAAGAAATCCCAACTTCCTCAAAGCAAATTATGTTCTTCAGCTAACCAAAAAAGGAAAAAATAAAACATATAAATAAATTTAAAATGATGATTTTTTTATTTTATTTTTTTTTAAATGGAGGCATCACAATTCATGGGTCCATAGTAGTCAACACTTGTACAACTTTTTACAGGCCCCAGTAGTTGCATAAATTTTAGCAGAAATCATTACCCCTCTGACTATTTACTTCCAACATTGATTACTTGCCACTCATAATTATTTCCTTAAAAATAAGTTTCAGTCACAGAGCAGATATGCTACCATGGGACTTTGATGCCACCAAGCAGTTGCAGTTCCTACTCTACCCAAAACAAAGTATACACTTTATATTCAGCCCAAACTTGTATCTTTTTGGGGCTTGGCTTTATGGATAACTCAAGTAACAACAGAAAACATAGGTTTTGATGTCCTTCCCCCCTATGCTTGGCTACCCTACAGGACCTTCTGTGCTGTAGTCCCCAATTCCATATGAGAGACAGGACATGTCAACCTATCCATCCCATTTTACCTAGTTATTGGAACTTACAAGATTCACCTCTTACCTCTTCAACTTATTCAGGGTACAAGCATTCAGAGAAGCTCTTCATATCTTTGCAGAGTCTTAATCTGTTTGCATGATTCAGTGGTCAACCATATAAAACTAATTAATAGTGAACCTTGAAGAAGAGATACCTCAGAGTTGTGTCATGTATTGCATTGAGAAAACAGTCAGTAGTCAGCTACTTGAAAACTGGTATAAGTATATCAGTAAATCTCCTGAACGTTGTGGCATCACAGCAAGTTAGGTTCCTTTATGAAGCTCCACTTACACTACAATGACCTCTACAAAAAAAAAAAAAAGTGTCCAGATCCCAGACCAGCTTAAAAAAAAAAAAAAAAAAAAAAAAGTGAGGTTACAGAAAGTAGAATTCGGGTCCAAAAATTACATATGCACTTAATGATAATTTTAAGATAACCTTCCTAATGTTACTGTGGATCTGACTTTGCTCTGACACCAGATTTAATGAGGAATAATTTAATAGAAATCATTACAATGCTGGTGAAAGTAAGTGTAGAATCCAGGCATGTGGTATAACTTTTCTGCAGGTCATCTTTCTGAAGCTTCTATTTTCATCCTGGCTTGCTACTTTGTGAAAATCTAACGTGAAATGAAAGCTAAAAGCTAACCCTGTTTTTACTCCCTAATCCAATTACTATTTCTTCACAAGGGTGCACTGGATATTGTCATCACAAGCTAATCTAAGGTGCACACAGATTTTCTCCTTGAACTT